TCGCTAAACCTAGCGGAAAATTTTTCCCGCTAAATCTAGCGGAAAAATTTCTCCACTAAATCTAGCGGAAAACATTTCCCGCTAAATGTAGCGGAAACATTTTCCCGCTAAATCTAGCGGGAAAAATTCCCCGCTAAATCTAGCGGTAAAATTTCCGCGCTAAATCTAGGGGAAATATTTCCCCGCTAAATCTAGCGGAAAAAAATCCCCGCTAAATCTAGCGGAAAAAATTCCGCGCTAAATCTAGCGGAAAAATTTCCCCGCTAGATATAGCGGAGAAAATTCCCCGCTAAACCTAGCGGAAAAATTTTTCTGGGGGGTCACGTGACCCCCCCCCCCGCCCCGAGAACACGTGACCCTCAGTACCCTCCCCTCCTCCTCCTCAAGAGCTGCGCTCCAATTCGGTGTTACAGGGAGTTGTAAACGGCTTTCATTTTTTTTTCTCTTCCCCAAATCCATTCCTAATTCGGTACAGAACTGCACCAACTCGTACCAACGGAGTGCCTCGAGACTCATGATCTAGCTTGTGTTTGCCCTCTTTCCCAAAAAAGAGCTCGCGTCAGAACGGTCACACAGTCCTTCTGACAACGACTCTCTCCAACCCCCACAAGCAAAACTTAGAGCTAATGGGTCTGGCAGATTGAGAAAGAAAGGGCCGGGCACTCACCCACACAAGAAGTCATGGTCCGGCGAGATCGATCCCGCCGCTGCCATCCAGTTGTTGGCCCCGCGTGGTTGTCCGGGGACTCTGGGTACGGCAGGGAGCCGAGCCAGGGCAGGAACACATGTGGTAGCCGGAATCGGGAAGGACCAGGGAGCAGAAGGGGTGTCTCTTACATAATATAACTCTTTATATATACATATGAACAGGTTACATCAACTCAAGAACACTAAAGAAAAAATCGTAAGGGTGCAGGTGAGCTGGTGAATATTAACCATGTGAATTAACATGAGACTTGGGTAGAGAAGAAACATTAAAACGTAGAAGGGAAAGAAAACGTAGAAGGGAAAGAAGACGTCGTCATGTCTATTTTCTTTCCCTTCTACGTTTTTATGTTTCTTCTCTACTCCAGTCTCAGGTTAATTCAACATGGTCAAGAACACTGTCGAGAACACTGTTGAGAACACTAGAGAACACACGCTAGCAGCCGCCTGCTGCTGCTTTTATAACCTCACTTGTCCCCACATCCCTAGTAGGGAATCCCTATCGTTCATTGTTCGTAACGTCCAGGCACGCCATCTCCCTCTCTCTCACACTGCCACACGCGACACAGACACGGAGGGGCCAGACATCCTTGGCCGCGGTGTCGCCGGTCAATGTCGGCGGACAATGGTGCCATCGAAGTCGAGGAAGGCGGAAGACATTCATAATTGCAGGCGTCCTGGCTTCCGTGTGTTAGGGGATAATCCCATGGGCGATCTATGCTGAGGAATTGAGCAAAGCCCCCTCCTTTGTCGAGGACGTCCCAAGGCTGTCGGGTCGCCGTGCGTCGAGATCAGGCAGGAGAAGCAAGGAGAGGGGCCGGACGGCAAAGTCGGCTAGATGACACTGGCGTGGGTCAGCCCGATGATCCCTCGGAGAAGGTCACGTCGTCCCCGCAAACCAAGGTGCGTTGGCGACTCCAGGGCGCCTCTCGCTCTGTCTCCGGGCGCAGCTGACCTTAGCCACCTGGCGACGATGCTCCAGGGGCGTTCACCCGTGCCGGTCGGTATGGAACGGCAAGGTCGTCTCCTGGGGCCTTTCGCGACAGGCCCCCGTCAAACAAACAGCGCGAACGCTTTTACACTGGTAGATTGTCACGTTTTATTACTCGGAAGGGGTACATTCATATCCTGTCTTTGTACCTAACGTGTTGTGGGGCGGCAATGCGACCAGAAAACCGCTTGCACATATGATGGGAGGCCGATCAGCTGATCTGCCTCCCCTCGTATACGAGTAAGCAGTTTTCTCTTACTCCTCTTCCTAAATAGGTAGTGTCCTGCATGTTCCTATGCGAAGCGTGAACTATACTTGGCGATGACCATCTAGTGAATACCTCACGCTCAACCGGTGACCGTTCATGTGTTAACACACAGGTGGGGAATCTTCGACAAAGCGGTTCGATAGCGAGGTCGTCTGCAGAAGGGCTGGATATTCCCACGGCCCGCCGTATTTTCAGAGTATTCTAAGCACCAAAAACCGTTCGAGTCCCATTTAGGCAAACTCTCCGTGTATGTACCTTGGCTGTCGTCTTTTTGTTTTCCTCACATAAGACCAGTAACAAGCGTCACAACTAGGAGGCTGGTGCCTCCGCGACCCAACAAGGGTGCCGGAGCAAGGCACGCGACAACACTGATAACCCTCTTTGGCATACCGTACGGTCGAGGCCTCCGAAGACTCTTTACCGTTAAACATGAAAGCCCTCCGCGACAAAAAACAAAGGCATTTGAACTCGTGCGATTCAGTCAATACCCGGAAGATATAAAGAATAAATAATGAATAATAAAAAAAAATGTATAAGTTTCGATTATATTCAAATTAAACAAGTGACGCCACATCCATATCCCCTCGATTTTTTTCGCCTTGTACAGTTAGTATGTATGATATCTCTATGCCTTGTACCGACGTGGCCGTTGACGACCGCCGGCGATTGTGGCCCTGAAATCGGCCGTTTCCGCTCAAAACATCGCACTGTGCCCTGGCATTAGCACCAGTCACAGATTCCTGGCTACCTTGAGCGCGTGGTTGTCTCATGAGCTGTTCACAAAATACTCGCTATTCTAGCCGATAGAAACGTTGCTGCGGTGGACGTTCATCCAAAGATGGCTGGTTTCGCAGCAGACCACTCTTGGCGCGCAGATGACAGCCGCTTCCTCCGGGCCTCGCGCCTCTCATTTGGCATAGAGACAGAAATGCTCCCGTGACGTCAAGTCACGTGCCTCGCTCCGACGCTCTTATCGAGTCGCGGGGCCCTAGCCTCCACAGTTCGCCAAGTTATCGTGAAACCGAGGATAATCTCACGGGCTCGGCAGCGCTTCTACCTCGGAACACTTGGCAGGGCGCGGGCATATAGACCTTTTCACCCTCCGCCGCATGGGCGCTGCCATCTTGGAATCACGTGATGCGGCCGCCATTAGGTTGCTTCAACTTGTTGCTCCGCTCTCCCGTCCGCGCCTTGGCGGATGCATTGAATTCGTGTTTTTCGTCGCGTTTCACCGCGTCTCTTGCAAGTTGCCTTACTCCGCAAAGTGTCTTCCATGCAATTGCATTACATCATTATGCGCACAGCTTCTGTAGTTGATTTTGTAACACGTTTTGAATATTTTTTACCGTCGGCGTGCGGGATACGTGTGAAAAGGTTTTAGAGGAACAGGAATCAGCGTTAGCACTTGCGCACATTGAATATCGAGAGTTCAAAAACCAATAACTTATGAGAACTTAGGTTTGATTACTAATAAGGGCGGAACATTTGCAATAGGAAACCCAATGTTCTTATATATGAGTGCGCATTGGTGTCAAGGAAGGAAAGAAAAACACTCAGCGTAATTAGCCACGTGTTTTTCCTGAGAACATGGTGTTTTGTAGTTCCAACAGATCGAAAACAGTTTCTTTTGATTACACCAGGGAACTTGTGAACAAGGCGCGCGGGAACAAAAATTTAGTTTGAATTATTTTTTATGCTAGGAACAATGGTACCTTAACGTTAGGCAACTTGTTTGTTCGCAATATCACACCTATATCTGTTTTACGTTCTTAATCGCGTGTGTGATATGAGCATTCGCTTCATCGGTTTATTTAGGAATTCCACGGAATTGTATATCGTGCTTGGTCCCATGTCCATAGTGTTTCAGTTGCTTGAGTCATTTTTTAATAGAACCATGCAGTTTCAATTAATTTATTTCAACACAAATATTTGAACTTCCCGCGTAAGAAACTGTCACAGACAGCTTGATAGTGCCTATGATTCACAAAATGCGGCGCCGAAAAGAATCCTTCTGCATGAAAATCACCCGAGTGCAGCCGGTTGTCGACGGCGAATAGGGATTTACTTTCAGTAGCTGGCGACGTCAAAATGTGCAAAGCGCATCGCTTCAGATCAGTGAACAGCTTTCTACACAGGTCCTTGTCTACGTGATTATATGAAACTTTTCTAGTCATTATAAGATACGTTTCGAGTCTCGAAGTTAAAAAAGGTTGGTGTACGGAAACCAAACATCGAACAGTAAACTTGTCAGTTCATCTGTTCTTGGTGATTCAGCATATTGTTAATAATGTTGTCGACCTGCTTTTCACTAAGCACTCATGCAATATAGTCTGTTGCAATATAAGATGATCAGTTCAATATCTGACTTGAGCGCGAGCTATCTACCTTGCGTACCGCTCGGTGCACGCACAGCCAAAGCACGGCGGCAGGCAACGAGCGCACGCTGCAGGCGGAGTTTGTCCTGCTCTTTACTTTTTTTTTCTTCTTAAAATTAGTGTCCGCGGGTACGGCCGTGGACAATGGTTCTCCTCCCTGTGCATCAGCGCAGTTGTTTCACCGCCGAACCTGGCCGAAATTAACGATGGAGGGAATCAGACGCATATGGTGTTCATAAAAAAAAGATCGCAATTTAGGCTCGAAATCACTCTGTGGTCTGCCAAGTGGCTCAATACTATTGTTTCATTCGCTGTGTGCTACTAGAAAGAAATTCATATCGCAAAATTAATCGAAAGTGGCATGAAACAGCATCACAATCGCTTGCACGTTGAAACCGAAACCGACCAAATTGAAGCAACCTAATGGCGGCGAGTGCGCCAGCGCCCTCTACCCGCCGGTCAGGCAACTACTGAAATGAAAAGGTCTTATAGACCTTTTCATTTCAGTAGTTGCCTGACCGGCGTATAGAGGTGTATAGAGGTACTGGTTGATCAGCGCACGCCGCTCCGCGGCCGTTTTGGAAGTACAGCGCATTGGAAAAGGCTACTCTACGTTTGCTGGATCTTCATCGCCAATACTAAGCTCACTGTACCAATACACACACGTTCTAAAGCCACAGCCGTCTTCGGGCAAAAAGGTAAGGCGTTTACATTCTGACGATTGAACCGGTTTCATACGTGCTTTATAGGCATTAAAATTTGTAATGCGCGCTTCGTGGGCACGCATGTGAGCTCACTTGAGGTCTTTGCGGGCTCCTCGGCGGGATTCCGGAACTATACGAATTGTGAAGGAAACGCCCCATATCGAGCCTTCGGCGCGCGTTCGGCGAGCGAGTTCCCGACAGACTGGCCTATGAGGCTACACCCAGGATTGCCCCTCCTTCTCTTTCCAACTATGTCGCCTACACACACACACACAGATTTTAGCTCTCGGAAAATGCGAGCGATCGCCCCGTGTGCGGCTTGTTGATCTGAATCCTGGAGCCGGTGGAACGCTCGCCGAGCGAACCGGTCTGTTCCCTCCATGTGAAAGTGACGGGGCGCGTCTGAGAACTTTTATGCGTACTCTGGAGAAGATTGATCCGTAGCCACTTGCAACATTTCAATTTCACTACGCTAGCGTGGTTGCAGTCACGAATACGATTGCGCCAGCAGTACTTGATAAATGTGATAGATACGGTAGAATGTTATGAGGGTATTGGAGAAATGCGATGCTGTGACTATCGGCCTTGTGTGGGCCGATAAGAACGTAGAACTCGCGTTTCAGGATAACGCTGCCTTGGTTACCTTGGTTTATTTATTGATTCAAGGTACCTCGCTGCGCCTGTGAAGGCATTATAGCGAGGGCGGGTGTACAGATGAGCAAAGGTCCAAAAACAAAAGGCACATGACCTGAACACGCAAAACAATATTCCAATAATTACAATGCTATTGAAGAGAGGCACGGGCAACAAAACTTCAAGAACAATTTGAAAGGTGACTGTTTAATATTCTATTGAAGAAGAGGGATGTAGAGGTCATGTTTATTGACTCTTCGGGTAGCGTGTTTCAGTCGCTTGTCGTGGAACGAAAAAAAAAGGGTTCTTGAACACTTCCACTTTGCTCTGGTACTCTCTCACTTTTTTTGAGTGGTCTCTCCTTCCTGATGTAAAGTGGGGAGGCAGCATGTAGTTGTTTTTATTTACAGTGAGCTAGTTTTGAAAAATGCTTTGAGAAAATTTCAATCGCATGGAACGCCTTCTGTTTGCTAAGTGGATCAAACCCAAATCTCTTTTCAAATCGCTAAGCCTTGATCTAAAATTGTAGGTGCCTTTTATAAACCTGGCTCGTTTGTTCTGAACTTTGTCTGGTTGATTAGCAAGATATGCCTGACTAGGCTCCCAGGAGACATTGGCGTACTCTAAGATAGGTCTAATGTATGTTAGGTATAACGTTAATTTAGTGTTTCGTAAACAATCTTTGAAATTGCGTTTTACTAAGTTGAGCATGCGAGTTGATTTTGTAGTTACATAGTCTACGTATTTTGTCCAGGTAAGATTTTCCGAAAGGTATTTTACGTTTGGTACGGGCGTTACATAATTTCAACTGATTTTATATGCGAAGAGAACAGGCCTACATTTACGCGTGAAACGCACCTGATTACAAATAACAACATGATTATCGTGTTATCATTTGTTGCCGAAGGGGGCAAGGGAAAGGCACGATGACGCGTACATAAATAGCTTGTCTGCCTTGATCTGATATGATAGATCCTCCTCCTCAACGGTGGTTCACCGCCGAGCTCATTACGGCTGGCTCGCTTGCTGATAGCACTGATCGTAAGTGATGGGCCGAACTTCTGCCGAATCGAAAATTCGGTGCCGAACCCTGGACCAAGCCGAACGTTTGCCGAACTTTTCTAAGTATTCGGCAAAGCGACGAGGTAGAGGGCCTTTAGCATGGAACAGATGAACGGTGAAACGGCGCCGCGCGCCGTTCGGCGCTCGCCGCCAGGCGCGTCACAGGCTCACCGCGCGGCTGTGACTGTGATTGTTGGGGTGTTCATTGTATCCCACCGTATGTTGGTCCCGTAAGGGACTGATACAACGAGGTAGAGGGGCTTAGAGCGATAAACCGGGGTTCCGGTCTGCACTCGAAAGTGACCCCCATAAGGCGGCTGCCATTGTACGCAAATTTGACCACACGTCACATGACCAAACCAAATACGTGACGTCACCGGAAAGATGGCAGCGCCCATGCAGCGGCTGGCCCCAGCTGGGCCGGAGCTTGTCGGATGCTTTGTTGATTGTCGTTCGTCTCGGCGAGTTGATTTCAGACGCGGAAGCCGTCATATGAGGCCGGTCAAAAGCGAGTTCAGAGTTCAGCGTGGTGTTTGACGTAGGTATAACGTGAAAATACGGAGGAACGGTGTGCATTTCGCTGGTGACCGTGTGCATTTCGCTGGTGACCGACCGGGATATTGCCACGGAAGAGACAATCTTACCTACGTTGCTCGGACCTCGGATTGATTCGGATACCGCTAGGATAAAATTTAAGGCGACGTTTCTGTGCTCTCGTTGACTATCGGAATCTTCGAGGTTTGCAGTGAAGCGTGTGCAATATATTTGGATACACAGTTTAGCGACGGAAATTGCGTGAGTCGTGCTTGGCGGTGTGCAATCGCGGTGCAGCTTCCATCAAATGACCGAGGGCTCACTTCGGTTGTGCGGCGTACCGGAAGACTGCCTTGAAGCTGGTAGTTCCCGTGCCGTGCTGAATGATGCTGTGCTGCTTACAAATTGTTCCGGCGTAGAAGTGCACTTTCACGGAGCACAGGTGTGCGGCGCACCGAAGAGCTGCCTTCAAGCTGGTAGTTCCTATGCCATGCTTTAGGTGATGCTGTGCTGCTTCTGAAATTGTTCCGGCGTAGACGTGCACTTTCACGGAGCACAGGTGTTGCAGTTGGTATTGATCCCGCTGGTCTGTCGCACGTTTCGTCAACACAAACGTTTCATCCACACTCGTTACGCGAATTGCAAGCTGTCCGGACATTTCATCGAGCGTGTTACGTACCCAGCTCACGCCGCTTTGTGGCAACAGTCTGCAGTGGCTCATTACCAGAAAAGTGTTCCCACATCCATTTCAGTTCAGTTCGTCCACGGCAGTCGACAAACCCCGAAGGAGAGGATTTATTCGGACAGAATGCCACTAAAGCAATGCAGCTTCTTCAGTGGTCAGGATAGATTCCCTTCTGCGAGTTTGGTTATACTGTCACGGATCCTTGTTCCAGTCCTATCTTCTATCAATATTCACTATTCTGGGACACTGCAGGTCATGCTCAGCTGTAATCGTATGTTCAGGTGGAGGTGCTGGGCACTTTACCCATAGCCCTTCACTCTGTGTGAACCCGGCGGCTCTTCAGCCGAGTTACCCGATAATGGGACACGGCTGGCGGACTATCCTGCGTCTTATACCCCTGTCGAGCCGTAAGCAAAGTCCTGACCCGAGCCTGGCAGAACAACCGCAAAACGACCGAGTAACCTCGAAAATACACCACGAAGCACCTGAAATCCGAGCCAGTTGCTGCTACCAGGAAAAACCACCGGAATTCGGTCTCCTGTCAGAAAATCCGAAGCTGACTAAGCCAACAATGACAAACCTGTAGCAGCAAACCGTGTCCCCTCCCACCATTGTTTGCATGCCCGTCGCAAATCACACTCTGACGCTTTTTCACGCAAGCTGTATGAAGACGTCAAGGACTGGATTGGACAATATGACAGTGTCGCCCGCCACATTGGGTGGACAGACAACCAGCTCCTGCAGAACCTATACTTCTCGTGGAAGAAACTGCCGGCGCTGGTCTGAGAACCATGGATCCTCCTTAACGTCATGGGAAGTTTGCAAGATCGAGCTGAATTCTTGATTCTGTCCAGGACACTGCCCCAATGAGAGCGCCACCGCACTCGTGGAGGATGTTTCGCGCTTGACCGAGCGCCCACGCCCACGCCGACCTTGATGCTACAGAATACAAGAACCTAAGAATCCCATGCCCCTCCCGTGAGGGACAACACCTTCGGCAGCCTTGTCCGCAACCCCCCAACAACAGTCGAAGTGTTCATATCACTGAGGCTTCCAACATGGAATGTGCACTGCATGCTCGAGCCTGCCACTATGAACAACTTCCCGGCGTCTCGACACTCCGAGTTGTCCAGCTACTACTTCGACGCCAGCCTCCCAGGCATCCACAACATCATCCACGACGTTGTCTGGGAGAAGATCAGGAAGCTACTTCCTGCCATCAGTTGCCCGGCTTTTATTTTGATTGCCGAGATTGTTTCGGAACAAGTTTGACAGGCATTTCAACCGAGACTTCTGCGAGCGAAGCGGCATCTGACAAACCAAGGGCAACTTAAGCCACAATGGCACGACGACCGCCACCGGCTGGCCCTTAGTATTCAATGCCAATTCAATGAGACACTCTAACGCCGAAGCATTCCCGACATCGTGTGTAGATCTGTGCTCAACAAAGTACACCGAGCAAAACGTAGGTGATGCGAATGTGCGACCGAAAACCACTTTGCTACCACTGCATGAAGCCGACCATGTCTACCAAAGCAGCCCGTACCAATGAATTGGTCGGTGAGGGTTCGTGCCAAACGACCCTCGATTACGTCTCGAGGAGCGACCACGGGAGATTAAGGATAACCTTCGGCGACCTTTGTCCCTGATGCCGAAGGTGCTGAATCGAAGATTCTGAATCCCTAATTACCCCAAAGCTCCTCATGTCCATCACCTCAACAAGAGGTAAGCACGACAAAGCAGGTGAGCGGCGATGCAGTGACAGTGGATTTGGTGTCGGTTGTCGTCCAAGGACAATACCTAAAAATTTGCTGACACCAATTTTCTGTGTCCACTCTACGAAGCACACAATTTCCAACTTTGAGGGAGAATGCCCTGAGTGACTTGAAGGAATAGAATGGTTGGTTGTTCTCAAAAGTGAACTGCAAGCATCACCAGACTTGGATAGCAAACAAAAATTGTTGCCAGCTTTCAAGTCAACGGTACAGCAAAAGGCACAGCCACGTAAGCAATACATGCCCGAGCTTGCTACATTGATGCCGAAAACTACCAGGAAAATTTTCGGATTAGAAGCCAGCCT